GTTTTTCGTGAGTCCTACCTAAGTCTGGTCTGTTTTGTTGTTAACTGAGACGTAGGCTTGGTAGACAACACATTAGCGCCTTGAGCACTACTGCAGTGGATTTGTGCGCTTATAAATCTTAATAATAATAATAGTTAATAATTATTATTATTATTAACACTTTGTTTAGGAAACTGCCAGAATGGGGGCAATCACATAGGTATTCTTCAATTGCAGCTTTCGGTCTTAGGCTGCTCGGTTTTCAGTGATAAGTTTGTTTTATTGTGTCCGCGGATGTTCTGTTTGAGGTTCCCCATACAACTGTAGCTTATTGCTATAGTATTGTGGTTGAGTATTTTGTGTAATGTATAATTTGGTGTGAATTCATCTTGCCGCATTATTTCAGACATCCCTACGTGATAATGGATTAGCCCTTCTTAATGAAGCAATGATGATAAGTAAATAACTGTAAAGCGTTGGCTGCCTTACTCATTCTTACCATACCAATACGATGGATTGGAGTTTAAAGTTTGACCATTGAGGTATAAAAAAAGAAAAATCTATTTTTGTACCTCCACGGTTTGACGAGGATAAAACCCTCCACCTCTTAATAAATGGTGAGGAGGCTAGACGAAAATCATCAGGAGGTCACCCGCTTGGACAGATCACAAAATTTAAAAGTGGTAAATCATAGAGAAAATAGAACAGTATTTTCTCTATGGGTAAACCTAACGCACTGAAGGTAAGTTTATTTTCTCTTACAGTACCATCAAATTTACTGTTTTTATTATTATTTTTTTTATTTAATGTTTTGCTTGATAAACATTAGTGATATGATGGGGTTTGATCTTCTAATGAAATATAATTTACAAACTAATATATTCAAGTCTAGCGTCACCATAGCCCCAAGTTTTAGTTTCATACTACTGATAGGCATATGTATAGTGTACTGTAGATTGTTTTATAAATCGCACCACCTCCTTCCCTGAAATTTTCTTAAGATGTGACTACACCCAATGAATATTTTGTACTCTTCTGACACACAAATGATGTCGGTCTATGTCCAAATCGACCGTGAGCATCGGTAAACTAAATTCACGGGTGGGAGTGTGTGTGTGGACATCTTCAGGTAAAGTTTTTCGACATTTTGTTTTACTGACAGTGACATGCCTAATGGTATACTTGGGATTAGTTTTCTAAATAGCCGTCCATCACTTTATTCCAATTACACTCAATCATGTAGGTAATAAAAAAAGAAGAATTAGAATTACTAAAAATATTATTAAATTTGGAATAAAATAATAACAATGGAAAAAAAGGAAAAGTAGAAGTAAGGTTATGAACAGAAAGAAATGTGAAAAAATATCAAAAACTATAGCTGAAAATGGGATATTTTAAATTAAATGAATTAGCGACGATCAAACTTACCCTAATGTACACACATCGTCAAAGTTTTATCGGATAAATTAGGTCTAATAAAAGTCAGTCATATTGTGGTTAACCATTGTTAACATAAAAGTATCAATATGTATTTATCAGTTCCTCTTCAAATAATATAGGCCTATGATACAAAATGATAACAAAATAGCTTCTTTTCTTGAAACATTAGTTACGGTACCGTAACCATATTCAAAATACAATTGATGTATCTTAGTAGTAGTAATACAAAATATTCAATATATAATTACTTGCACATGATTAATTCGTTTGCTTATTGTAGGTGATCACGGAAGGGAAAAAAAAGGAGAAATGACCGGTACTACCGAATTATGGACAAATTATTGTCCACATGAAAACAGTGCATTTACTAAATGCAGAAATGTAAACGAATTAAATGCCATGTGGAAGCAGGAAATAAAGAAACGTAAAGCGTCAAAAGAAGACAGTGTTGCAAAAAGGTGAAAACAGGTTATTAAGACAATTGACGAAGCTACAAGAGAAGATCCTTGGTAAGTTAACTGTGTACACTGTTAAAACGTTTAGTAAATGTTTAAAAAAAATACTAACTGTTATACTACTTGAATATTTAATTTATCTGTTAATTTATCAACAAATTATTCAACAGGTTAATCAATTAATTAATAAATTAGTAAATCATTTAATAAACAATAATATTTTTTTTATCTACAGGTACTGTTAAGATCCCAAAGAGCTCGGTGAAGGAGCCATCGAAAGATCTTCTTATCCGAAAAGTTGACAAAACTTTTGTAAAAACAAATTGAAAAAAGCATACAGAAAGAAGTTGTGATCAGTACGATCATCCCTCTACTCCTCGATGAAGCTGATACAGTTC